ATATATATATATGTAATTTTTTTTAACAAATTAGTTTTTAATATACCACCCTAGGGTGGGGGACAGTGTCGGTCTGCAGTAAACGTTTCGTGCTGGCCTGTGTTGGTGATACTGAGATATGTAAAAGATAGTTCCTGATTCCCAGTAGCATTAGCATACTGGGGAGACAGACATACAGGAGTCTAATATGAGAATACTAGAGCAGAATGGGGCAGGGCAGGAGAGAGACACCGAAAAGGAAGATTTGTCAAGAAAAGCCTTTATTTTAGGAAGTCGAAGGAGACTTGGAAAGAAGGGTAATATTTAGAGAAATGGAGAAGGCAGGAGGGGGTCTGAAGCAGGGATGGGGAGAACTAGAGCAAGGGTGAGGTACTCTGGGGTGGAGGGGGTGAGCATCTGTGTAGTATGTACCAGGCTTGCGCCCGGTGACTTACACACAGGAATGCACTTGCTCCTCTTGATGGCCTGCGAGGTGGGTTTTATAGATGAGGAACAAGCTCAGAAAGGTTAAGTAACTTACCTAAGAAAATGCTGGTGAGTGGCAGGGGCAGTGCCTGCAGCCAGGTATGTACGACTGCAGCTCCTTTGCTCCTGTTTTGCAAAGGTGCGGGCCTAAAGTGTGCATGTGTACCATTGTTTGTGTTTTGACTTCAGATATCCAGTTCTTCCCGGTTTCTGTATGTTGTCATCTCACCTACGCCTGGTCCCCACGAGAGTCCAGCTTGTTCGTTCCCTGGTCCGCAATCCTTCCTCTTCCTTCATGGACCTGAAGGCTCTCCTTTCCTCCTTGAATGACTTTGCATCCCTCTCCTTTGCTGAGAGTTGGGACAATGTTGGATTACTGGTGGAACCAAGCCCACCACACACGGTGAACACACTCTTCCTGACCAACGATTTGACCGAAGAAGTGATGGAGGAGGCACTGCAGAAGAAGGCTGATTTCATTCTCTCCTACCATCCGCCCATTTTCCGGCCCATTAAGCGCATAACCTGGAAAACCTGGAAGGAGCGCCTGGTGATCCGCGCTCTGGAGAACAGAATCGCCATTTACTCTCCGCACACGGCCTATGATGCCGCCCCCCAGGGGGTCAACAACTGGCTGGCTAAAGGGCTCGGTGAGAAGCCTCTTGTTCTCTCATGTTTCGTATTCTCCCTATAAATGCTTTGAAATTTTAGAACGTCTTTTCAGTAGAGTTTTCACTGCTCTAGGGTGGGATCGTTATTGTGTGTGCAAAATATATTTTAAAATAATGTTGCTGAAATCTGGCAACCAAATTACATTTGAAAAATAGCATTTTTATGACTAATGAACAAGGCGAGCCTGGGAAATCCTCATGCTAGTCTGAGCTTTGTGATTCCTCACTCAGGTGGCATAGTACCTGCTACCCGGCCACTCCAGAAATGCTTGTTAAATTGAACTGAAAGCTTGGGCCTCTCTGGCACATACTTAATATGTCACTCATATAGAGCAGAGTTTTAATGAGGGAATTCAGCACATGTGCTTTAGCTTTACTTTTAGTAAGTCTTTTTATAGTTTACTTGTTTTGGGCTGAAGCTTTTATGAGGCTATAAGCTGGATTGATGTGGTCAAGTAGCTGTGAGGATTTACACACTGAATCATGTTGTACATGGGTAAATTTAATAAGCAGCACAATTGCATGTATCATCTAAAACTGCATCAGTCTTTCTTGTCCAAATTTTTGTGGTATTTAAGAATACTGGAAAATAATTCTAAAAATAAATTTGATTTTGTATGTCTGTATTAAATCCCTCATTGTTGGGTAATGTTGGTTGTATAAGAAAAGGATATGTGTATATGTGTAGGGTATATAAGCATCTGAGAATGAATTTAAAAAATACTAATTTCTTGTAAGTTTTGGCCATAATAGTTTATCTTTTTAATTAAAAAAAACAAAAACTCCCATTTTCCTACCATTTTTTTCTAGGCGTTTGCACCTCCAGGCCTATACATCCTTCCAAAGCACCCAACTACCCAACTGAGGGAACACACAGGGTAGAATTTAATGTTAACCACACCCAAGACCTGGACAAAGTCATGTCTACAGTGAAAGGAATTTCGGATGTTTCTGTCACTTCCTTTTCTGCTAGGTACAGTATATTTTCCTCTTTTCTCGGTGGGTACTTATTTGTAAAGATCTTCCTTACAAATTCTATAATTCTGACATTTAGGTTTGAAACATGGTTTTCCCTGGGTTGTGTTTACAAAACAGCCTGCTTCTCATTTGGGTCCTCAAAGGAGGAGAACCATGGGAGCTTTTCAAAGCAATAAAGATGATAACACTATTTCCTCTGTGGGAGGGACTATACTACACATTTTACATGCAGTGTTTCTCATCCTCCTGGTAATGGTGAAAGGTAGTTGCTTTTACTTTAGGGCACAAGCATATCTCAGAGATATTGTGGATTTGGTTTCAGACAAGCATAATAAAGCAAGTATAGTTAATAAAGCGAGTTGTAATATTTTTGCTGGTGGAGGGTCTTGTCTTCAGTTTATAAAGAAAGACAATACTCGTGTAGTTCAGTAAAATGAGGTATGGCTGTTACTCAGTCCCAGTATCTTCAACTCAAGTCTTTTTCCTTCCTTTCAGAGAAGTGAGTATCTTTCCAAACACATATAGAGACATAAAGAAATGTATAGTTTTGTTTTATTTGTTGTTCTCTTAATTAAGTGGTATTTGCCATATTACTAACAAGATGTTTAGAGATCTTCCCATGTAGATATATAAGATCTCTTTATTTTTTTTAAATATATTTTATTGATTTTTTTACAGCGGGAAGGGAGAGGGATAGAGAGTTAGAAACATCGGTGAGAGAGAAACATCGATCAGCTGCCTCCTGCACACTCCCTACTGGGGATGTGCCCGCAACCAAGGTACATGCCCTTGACCGGAATCGAACCTGGGACCCTTGAGTCCACAGGCCGACGCTCTATCCACTGAGCCAAACCGGTTAGGGCTATAAGATCTCTTTTTAACTGCTGCGTAATGTTTCTTATTATGGATGTACTGTAGATTCTTTATTTTCTTTTTTGTTGTGTTTTATTTATTGTAGATTCTTTAAGCATTCCTCTTCCTACCTGATGCACATTTAGTTTGGTTCTAGTTTGACCACATCACAGTTAATATCTGGGTTTGACCATTAGTCAGGGCCCACGCATTGTTTTTGCTTTTTCTTTTCAGAGCTCCGCAGATGATTCCAATATTGACAACACTTCCAGATTATATTTTAAGGTGCCTTTTAGTTCTAGAGTTCTATACTTGGAGTTTATGGCTAAATTGCAAAACTTTCTTGATGCCAGCCTTTTTAGAGAGGCTCTAGGGCCCTGTTCGGCAAACTGCGGCTCGCGAGCCACATGAGGCTCTTTGGCCCCTTGAGTGTGGCTCTTCCACAAAATACCTACTTCTGCGCATGGGCCACGAAGTTTCAATCGCACTGTACGTGCGCGCCCACACGTGGTATTTTGTGGAAGAGCCACACTTTTAAGGGGCCAAAGAGCCGCTTGTGGCTCGCAAGCCGCAGTTTGCCGACCACTGCTCTAGAGCATTGCTTTTCAAAGGGCGATAAGGACTCCCTGCCCTTATGAATGGGGTACTTATGAAAAATGCAGATTTTTTGCTTCATCCTAGATCTGTGTAATTAGAATGGGGTTTGCCTGAGAATCTGTCCAGGAAATTCTTGTATGCAGTGTTGTTTGAAAATTAACTTCTCTAGGGCTTTAAGAAGAATTCAGTTTGCCCCAGCCCATTCACAGATGCTGTTTCACCGGATCTGTAAAAGGGTCCAGCAGCTGTCATTTTAGGAAGCGATGCACGACTGGATTAAGAACCATTAGAACCATGGTTTCAAGGTGAGGTCCTTGGACCAATAGCATCAGCATCGCTGGGAACTTGTTTGAAAAGTAAATTCTCAACACGGCGGGGTAGGGGAGGCTGGGGGAATGTCAAGGGGGAGGGAAGGAGACATGTAATACTCTTTGTAATACTTTAAGCAATAAAAAAAAAAAGAAGCAACCAATGAATGAATAAATAAGTGGCACAACAACAACAACAAAAAGAAAAGTAAATTCTCAGACCTCCACCGAGACCTACTGAATCAGAAACTGGGGGTGCGGCCCATCCATCTATGATTTAAATAGTCCACAAGGTGATTTCGATGCATTTTAAAGTTTGAGTAACACTGTTCTAGAAAATCATTTGGTTTGGGATTGAATCCTAAATGTCATATAACTCTAATCTATTATAGGAATTTGTAAATTGTAGATTACTTAAAATACATTTTGATTATATTTATCCTGAACCAGTGAGTGCCTTTTCTTTTTACTCTTTTTCTAGGACTGATGATGAGGAACAGACGCGGGTCAGTCTGAACTGTAGTCAGCAGGCTTTGATGCAGGTGGTGGCTTTCCTTTCCCAGAACAGACAGCTTTATCAGAAGACTGAAATTTTGTCACTGGAGAAGGTAATAAAAATACCTTACATTGCCGAGCATTGTCTGGCAAATTCATTTGTAAATTGTTAGAAGACTGAGCTCCTCCCCAAGACTGAGCTCCTCCAAGTCAGAGTGTTTTTGTCAGATTTGTATCCCCTGGACACAAACGTTGGCCTGGAGCTGTGAGCTCACAGTGTGCATGTCATATTGATCTCAGCATTTGCTCTTTGTTCTAGGTTTGTTTTCTAGGACTGATGATGGACAGTTTCTCTAACTTGTGTTTTTCAGCCTCTGCTGCTGCACACTGGAATGGGACGGTTATGCACCCTGGATGACTCTGTCTCCTTGGCAACCTTGATTGAGCGAATCAAAAGGCACCTAAAACTGTCTCATGTTCGCCTTGCTCTTGGGGCAGGGAGGACCTTAGGTAAATATGTCTCCTTTATTTGTCCAGTATGCCTACTGTTAACACCGGAGAAAAGTTGGAACTCTTCATTGTATTGTAAGTGAAAGAAAGCCTGTAAGTAGTTATGGGAGATGCCTGACTGGTTTACGCTATCGATCAGGTGGTCTAGGTTGTGCTAGGGTGAACATCTCATTGGCTTCCACAAGATTTATTTCCCCAGTCTGTTTATATCAAGTCGGCAGGGCAAGTCTGCCCACTGTAGGTGGTCGCTGTTGCAAAGGGAGAGTCGTAAACCGTCAGGTAAACATTCTAGCCTAGAAATGAACTTCTGTTTAACTCATAGTCCAGAGTTGGTCACATTGCCCGATCCAACCCAAGTTGGACATGAAGTAACATCCTACCACGTGCTTGGGAGAGAGCTGGGAAGTGGGACTGCTCCAGTTTTCCATGCAGATCTTGGTGTTTTACAATCCTGGTGATGTTTTATAGGGAGGTGCTACTAAGTGAAGTGACCACTGCAGTTTCTGAGTCTTGTAGTCACTGTCTTTTCTACCAGCTCTTCCCAGTACTTTCGGGAAAAGGAACCAACAGAGCATTTGTTGACCCCTGCAGTTTGCCTAGCAGTGTCATGAGTACGTTAAGTATGCGAGTTCCCACTGCAAAGGGGCCTAGAGGTTGTGGATTCCGAGTGTCTTGGGTAAAATTTATCTACTTGCTGCATGACTTTGACAAGTTATTTAACCTTTTTGTGTCCCGGTAGCCACATCTGTGAAAACTGTGGTGGTAATAAAACCTAACTCATCAAAGTAGATGTACAGTCCATGTGGCGGGGCAGTGGCAGGGTACAGTAAGTGCAGTAAGTGCTGGCCTTAGCTCCGTGGTAGGTGTTAGTGTTCCCATTGTGTCGGTGAAAACACACAGGTTCAGAGATACTTATCCAGAAGTCTACAGTTGGATCAAATGACTCATGGGCGTTAATTTCCAAACAAAATAGATGGCAGAGGTGGGATTTGACTTCCAGTCCAACTCCAAAGCCCCTTTTAAAATAGCACTATTGCGTGACCACTAATGAAGGGTTTATTCTCGAAACATAAGTGCTAAATACTTGTTGGATTTGGGCTTGACAGTTTATTTCACTCTTCAGAGGATGCTCCTTTATTTCATTTATTTATTTTTGTTAATCCTCACTCAAGGATATATTTCCATTGATTTTTAGAGAGATGGGAGAGGGAGAGAAACACTGTTGTGAGAGAGACACATCGATTGGTTGCCTCCCACAAGGGCCCGACCAAGCTGGGGATCGAGCCTGCAATCGATGTACTAGTATATGCCTTTGACCAGAATCAAACCCGGGATCCTTCATTCCGTGGTCCGATGCTCTCTCCACCGAGCCAAACCAGCCAAGGGCCAGAGGATGCTCTTTTAAAGTAAATATGGTGCCCAACTGATTTGGCTCAGTGAATAGAGCCTCGGCCTGCGGACTGAAGAGTCCCAGGTTCGATTCCAGTCAAGGGCATGTACCTTGGTTGTGGGCACATCCCCAGTGGGGGGTGTGCAGGAGGCAGCTGATCGATGTTTCTTGCTCATCGATGTTTCTAATTCTCTATCCCTCTCCCTTCCTCTCTGTAAAATATCAATAAAATATATTTTAAAAAATAAATAAAATACAATATTTAAAATGTGTCCGATCCATTTGTATCATTCCTCTAACTAGCCCTTTCAGTTCCTCTGCTTCCTCACCTGAGAACAGAGATAGTACCTGCCTAAGTCTCCCTGTTGCCTGGGGACCCAGGTAGGTTACTTCCCGTAGTAGCGCTACAGTACAGCCAAGAGCTGTACTCTTTTTTTTCTTTTTTTTTTTTTATTAATGTATTTTTATTGATTTTTCACAGAGAGGAAGGGAGAGAGATAGAGAGTTAGAAACATCGAGAGAGAAACATCGATCAGCTGCCTCCTGCACATCTCCCACTGGGGATGTGCCCGCAACCCAGGTACATGCCCTTGACCGGAATCGAACCTGGGACCTTTCAGTCCGCAGGCCAACGCTCTATCCACTGAGCCAAACCGGTTTCGGCAAGAGAGCTGTACTCTTAACATTATTCAGTGGCGCCTTATACGGGCTTGTGCAACCGTGTATGTCTAAGGAATAGTAACCCTGCCTTGGGTTAGCTATGCTATGCAATACCAAAGAATAATCTGTCTGCTATATGAGGACATGTTTTATTATTTTTTAAAGTTCAGTAAGCAAAATTTATATACTGGTGATGAGGGCAAGCGTGAAATCTGCATTACATTTAGGATTTTGGGTGGAAATTATAATATTAAAATGAAGGGGACTTGTAAAGTACTGGTCTCTTGCTTCCTTTATCTTGCAGAGTCCCAAGTCAAAGTGGTGGCTCTGTGCGCTGGCTCTGGGAGCAGTGTTCTGCAGGGGGCAGAGGCCGACCTCTACCTCACAGGTAGGGCAGCCTTTGATTTCTCTTCTCCCCTTTTGTGTGTGTGTGTTCTTTCCCAACTGTGGTTTATCTTTTACAAGTTAAAAAGGCAATTTTAGGACCGCCCCTGACATATAGATGGAGCTAATAAATGTTTTTTGAACCTGAACTAAATAGGAACTACACCAAAATTGGGGACATACCTTATTCTTTGTGGAGAGAAAAAAAAATCATTTAACAGTTTATTATCAGATTATTTAAAAATACTAATGTTTAGCATTTCTTTAACCTATCTTCTTTTTTTTGTTTGTTTGTTTGTGTTTTTTTAAATTGTTTTATTGCTTAAAGTATTACAAAGAGTATTATATATGTCTCCTTTTTTTTTTTTTCCACTTGACCTTCCTGGCCTCCCCTACCCCCCAGTGTCTTGTGTCCATTGGTTATGCTTATATGCATGCATACAAGTCCTTCCGTTGATCTCTTACCCACCTCACCAACCCTCCCTGTCCTTCCCGCTGTAGTTTGACAGTCTGTTCCATGTTGCTCTGCCTCTGCACCTATTTTTGTTCATCAGTTTATAATGGTCTTAATTATCCATAAATGAGTGAGATCATGTGGTATTTCTCTTTCATTGACTGGCTTATTTCACTTAGCATAATGCTTTCCAGTTAACCTATCTTCTTCCTAAACATGACTTCTCTCAGATTTCATGTCACTTTCTATGTGTTGCCTTAGCTAGAAAATAGTTCTTCTTACTCAGCCCTAAAGTCAACCATCAGTTCTTATCAGTTCTAACTCCAAAATCTTTCTAGAACCTTCCCCTTATCTCTACCTAGGCATCATCACCTACCCGAAGAATATCTTCAAGCCTGTAATCTTTTATTTTAAAATCCTCACCCAAGGTAGCAATACTTATATCAAACAAAATAGACCTCAAAGTGAAGGCCATAACAAGAGATAAGCAAGGCCACTTCATAATACTAAAGGGATCGATACAACAAGAGGATATAACCCTGATAAACATATATGCACCCAATGCAGGAGCACCCAAATACATAAAAAAACTCCTGGAAGATATTAAGGGAGAGATCGACAACAATACAATCATAGTAGGGGACTTTAATACACCACTGACATCACTGGATAAGT